TGCTTTTTAAACTTTTTTGAATGCTTTGGGTGTCTGAATCTAGGTCCTGTCATGGGGTCTTTATATCTATATCTATACATCTATATATCTATATATCTATATATCTATATATCTATATCTATATCTATATCTATATCTATATCTATATCTATATCTATATCTATAGGTTGTTTGGTGGTTTGAGACTGTTTTTGAGGGTTGTTGGTTTGGATTTTTGGCTGCTCGAGCTCTAGAGCAGGCGCTGAGGAGCGGCTGAGGTGGGTCGGGAGCGCCGAGTGGAGCCGCGCTCCCCCACAGGGCTCCATGAGGGGCAGCGGCTCCGGAGTGAGCCCCGCTCCGTCGCGGCCGGCAAGGGGCAAGGGCGGGTGGCAACATCAGCCCTCGCCCTGTGGTGGAAGCGGGGCTGCCTCCGGGCTCAGCTCTGCCTCAGCTGCTGCACTGCAGTTAACCCAGGTTACCACCTCAGCAGGACGCGCTCGTTTTGTGTTCCCCAAAAGCACCTGCAGAACCAGTATCCCTTGTAGATAGACCTTCTCTCCACTCCTTCCAAACTTTTTGAAAACTCCTATTTTTTAATATAAATATATATATGTATGTATGTATATATATATATATATTTTTTTTTTGCTTTAATGCTTTGCATGAAAGTGTATGTGACCCCCAAGGGGTCTTTTCAAGACACTAGTGTTCCTGTAGGGCCCTTTCCGCTTACTCTGCAAGCACCTGCAGACAAGCAGGACACGTGTAGCCACCTTGCTCCACCAAAATGACAGCTATATGTGTAGCTGGAAGGCCAGCTCTGCGTTTGGGTGTGCTGAGTTGAGTCCAGAGCAACTCCACACATGTCAAACATCACAACTTGTGATTGTGTTTCCAAACTGTGAGGTCCTGTTGTGTTTTGTGTGGAGCACGTGTGTTGTCCCAAGGAAGTCACTAACTGTGTATTGGGTCAATGCATTGGATTGTGTCAATATTCTGATATCTTGTAATGTCCTAAACTCCCAGTGTTTTCAGTGGGAGCAGGTTTGCGGAAAGACTGACCTGCTTATACATTTGTTCAAATTGTTAAAGCATTGTTCACTTACTAAGCATTTGTTTTCCCCACAAAGAGGTTTACTGCTGAATTTGCAGGATAAAACGGCAGATGAAATCATAAAGCAAGGTTTGCAAAGCATGAATTTGCTGTATTCTGAAGGAGCAGAAAATCTTAACCTTGCGATAACTTCCTTCTCTTTGCACCCAGAATCCTAAAAGGTCCTGGATTCAATTCTGGGTGTTCTTCAGTGATTCGTGGGGCCTATTTCGATGCACCCTTAAGACATAGCATAGGTTGTATTCTAGAGTTGCAAGGAGGGAAATTAACCCCATGGAGATTTTCTTAGGGCTGAGAATGGCAACCTGGACAAACTCTTAAGTATTTAAATCTAGCCTTTCTGTGTGGGTATGTTCATTTTTATTCTTTTTTTTTTTTTCCTATTTAAAATGAAATCAGCATAGCCTTTCAAGCATACTGCTTACTATTAATTAGCTCAGGATCTCAAGATTGCAATATTTGATTCTCTACAAAGCACTGTAGTAGCTTCCTTCGCAAGCTGGTGTTTGAATTGTGAAGAAGAAAATGCACAGGCTTAAGTTCTGTATCTGAACAGCCTTGAAGAAGTAGTTTGACATATTTTAAAGGAAACACTGTATATACTTCAATAGGAGCCAAAATTTGAAGTTATTTGGTATCCTAAGCAGGAAAGAAAGGTCTGTCTTACCTTACACTCATGCCTTTGCTGCCATGAATGAGAGCTATACATGTTTAGCATTTGACAGAAAGATTACTTTGGTCAGCTGCCCACCCCGCCCTTGAATTTTCTGTCTTTGGGCTCCAAGTCTTAAAAAAAGGAAAGGCCTACATTACCTGCTAACATAAATAGATACAACTGTATTAATGGCAGTGAGGCCATGCATTCTTATGCTAGCAAAAGTTTGATCCTTTAGATACAACTTATAGTGAAAAACTGCAAAACATTTTTTTTTCTTTCCAAAATGATACTTATTTAGGGTGTCCTGTCATAAATGTTATGCAAAATAATTTACATAACTGATATCAACTAAGATACTTTGGGACGAACCCTGACACTTTCCTTGAAGTCAGTGACAAAGTTTCCAGTGATCCCAGAGCAGAGGGGGAAAGGAATTCAAAAGCAGGTCACAGTTTCCCATTCAGAAACCTACCGTGCTGTGCTCACATTGGCAAATTGTACTTTTTATCACTTATAGAAAGATTTAGCCCAAAGCATGCTGTGCCCAAGTCTGATTTGGGCACCCTTTAAACGGTTGCAGAGGAGAGAAACAGGGCCCTGTTCTTGTGGCAGCACTGGGGCTGTCATCCAGTCTTTGCTGCCTCAGCAGCAAAGAACCTACCCTGGCATCGGCTGGGATTTCACTGGGTTTTCCCCAAAAGCCCAGAATAATATGGCATTATGGGAACATTTTCCTCTGGGGGTTCTAAGCATTTTAAGATGATTTTTGTAATTATTCTTAATCAAAGTTCTCAGCACTTGTGGGTCTTAATGTGTGCTTAGGAATTGTGCTACTTTGATGAGGGGATGAAAATCTTTCCCTCCAGTCCCATGCCTCACCTTTGCACTGGCTCTGTTTTTCCTTTTTCATCCCTTGGAGATGAATCAGTGTTGCTGAATGCCCTAAAATCACCTAATTGCAGGATAAACCATAAAGGCAGGAAGGACTATTAGCTAGATGCATGCTGCCCGTGCTGTAGATAGGCTGAATGCAAGTCTGGTTATACCAAAGTCAGGTAGTTTCAGGAATACAGAAAGAGGACCTTGGCTTTGAAATATCCTCTTCTGAGGAAAATGAAATAAAATGAAATGAAATGAAATGAAATGAAATAAAATAAAATAAAATAAAATAAAATAAAATAAAATAAAATAAAATAAAATAAAATAAAATAAAATAAATAAAATAAAATCCCTGTGAATTCCCTGAAGAAGGAAATACCCTCCTTTTTCATCTCCTCCTCCTCGTGTCCCTTCCATTCATGCTAAGGTGCTAGGAACACCTACAGGGCAGGATGCTGTAGGAGTAAAGGGCATCCCTTGGCTGTGGGATGCCCGTCTTGTGTACATTGCCTTGGGATGCTTGCCTCGTTCGCTGGGCTTCGCTGTGCTTTGTGGACAAACATATATTACTCATCTGTGTAGAAGGAGGCAGGGGGCCTTCCGAGACCGTAACAGATGCACAGGCACCAGCTCTGTGCTCAGCGAGACTTGCAGGGGACATGAGGGGCTGGCAGGGGAAACGGGGCACTTGTACCATTCCACCTGCCATAAATACACTACTTTTTGAGGAACTGAGCAGGCTGCCAGTATAGGAAGGTGCTGGGTTTTCCCTCCTGTGAGAGAAGTTGCATTTCTCACCAATGTTAATAAAAATGGACCTACCCAGAACTCTTCAGTCCCACTGGAGCCAATGCAAATGGTTGGGTGGTAGGAGGCTTTTTCCATGGCTGCAATTGTTTCTGAGAATTATGTATAAGTGCCAAAAACCTGGGTTCGTCTGCAATTAAAGTTTAAGATGAGAGTAAAGCAAAACAGCGCGTTACTGCATGTTAAGTAGTGCTATGGTACATGCACCATGGGTATGATGATCTTTGAGAATACACATCTTTTCAGCAAGCTGCAGAGGCAAAAAACTGTCCCCAGCTTGTCAGTCTGCAGCCCAACTTGAATAAAAAGCCCAGCTTTTTATTTTTTGGCAAATCTGTCATTGACCCTTGTGCAGGGGGAACAGCAAAATATTGGGTCTGAGCCGTACTACCCACGCTCAGGAGCAAGCAAAGAGACCATAGCGCTTTCCAGAGGCCTCAGGATGACCCTTTTGCCTTTCCACCACAGTTGGCTTAACTTAAGAAAAATAAGCCCTGTGAGTTGGGCTGAGACGAATGGAAGAGGTTGTTGGTGCCCTTTCCATAGGGTACCAACCTCCTCTGCTTCCAACGCTCATTCCAACGTAGCGTTTTTCCAAGTCCGCACCAGGTTGCACTGGGCCTCCCTGCCCCGGTGGCACGTTTTGCTGCCCAAGGCAGCTGCCCACCGCGGTCACCGGGGCCCCCATGGCTCCCAGGGCCGTCTCTCCACCCAGGCAGCCACCTCGGTGCTTGTGGCGGCCGCCGGCTCGCTCTCGGGAACACGGTGTGTCGCAAGCGCCCGCGGGGCCGGAGCTTTCCGGCCTTGCTCGGCCATCTGGCAGCAAAACAGGAAGGCCCGTGCGGGTTGTTCCCTTTCCCTCCTGGGCTCTTTGGGCTATTTTCGGGAGGCCGGTTCTCCCTGCGGAGCGGCAAGCCGGGCCGGGCCGTGCCGGGAGCCTGGCCCATCTGCTCCTGCCTGAGGTGCATCCATTATTGATGGCAACGGCGGCGGCGGCGGCTGCTCAGATATGCAGCCCTGCCTGGGTAAATGAGACATTCTCCAGCAAATTGCTTCGTTTTTTGATTGCTGATTGTACGCGTGTCACCAAGCTGACTCAAGGTTCATCGATGCATGCTCAGTAAATTAGAAAGAACATAACTATGGATCAAGCAAGAGAATGAATTCTGTGCCTACAATGACCCAGGGCCATTTAATTTTCTGCTTAATTTTGTTGCAGTCAGTTTGCATTTTGGGTTATTATGCAGGAGGAAATTAACAATAAATAACAAATTTGGTCCTCCTGTGCTTGTAATGATATTTTTATAAATCTTTGTAATGCTGTTTTTAAAAGGATCAAGGTCTGTGCCAGTCTGATACTCCAGCAAGTATGCGGGCAGGAAATAAAGAGAAAAATGCATTATTCTTCCCAGATAATCTTATAGTTAAATAGTAAAGTTTTTTTTTTCTTTCCTTTCCTTTCCTCTTCTTTCTTCTCTCTGTGTGTGTTTTTTTTCTTTTTGTGTATGTGTATATGTGCATGTTATTTTGCATTAACTTAAGTCTCTTTCTCTTCTCAGATAACTTGAGGAAAATGGAAACAGATGAGGCTCAAGATATGTCCCAGGTTTCAGGTGAGGTCCTTAAGGAATCCAGCTACAAAGAAAATTCTCAATTTCTGCTCATCTTTCTAGCCTAGTGTAATGTTTTTTATTGTTGTCTAAATAAAGTTGCTGTGGGTCTTTTCTAAAACCAGAGTGGAAATTGAGGAGTAATTAATGATGCCACTTAATATTAAGCCCGGCAGTGCATCTTTTATGTTTTTTTAAAGGAACAGGCAATATAGATTAAAAAGTCAAGACAATATACAGACGAAAATACAAAAAAGTCAAGACAAAATACAGACGAAATTTTGCATTGAACCTGTGGCAGCGTATGCTTGAAGCACACTCAGGTGCACATTTACACTCTTTCTTTTGGGAGCAAACTTTCAAAATAAATATAGAACAAACAAAGTTCACAAAGTGGGAGGAGAATAAATGCTAATTAAAAGCAAGCAAACTTTATTTACTGCATAGGTCTGTTTGGCATTATCCAAAGCTTTTGAAAAGCTTTACTTTAAGTGTGCAAAGTTCCAACATTTCAGTTCAGACATCTAAGAATGCAAATTGACAAAAACTACTTTTGTCCAGGAAGAATTTTAAGAAAACAAAAACAGATTATGCTATAGAGAAATTAGGTTTATAAAATATGCCTTATCCTAGCATAGGAAGGATTCTGCATAAAGTCCTGCAATTTAGGATTAGAAATAGAAGAATAGAATAGAATAGAATAGAATCCATAGATAGGATTGATACTTCTGTGGGAAGTTTTGTGCTTAATTTCACTGGAAGACAGTTCCTTAGGAAATCAGTAATGCAATTTAGCAAAATAATAACTATTTACACTGTTGTGCTCCAATGGTTGAGAAAGCTAGCGTTTTTCCTATTTTTCCCTATTATGCTGTTTTCACATCAGTTTTCACTTCTGGTGTGGTGCTTGGAGCACGGCAGCCCAGTTCTCCTTCCAGGTGCAGGGCTCGCTTCGAAGCAGCACCTCTTAGGAGTGTAGGGTCGCTCCATACCCACCCACCCGACAGCAGGGCCTTCATCTCTCTTCCAGCTCAGGTTCATTCCCAAGAGAGCTAAGACCAACTGTAAGAGATCACAAAGGTCCTGCTGTCGCGTGGGTGGGTAGGTCATGGGTTTTTCCAGAAATACATGGACACAATTCCATTTTTTTCCCTTCTTTTTTTCTTGCACTTCCCTCCTTTATAAAAATGTTGAATTTCTTCAAAAATTGAAACTTCTTGTGTTATCTGATAATTGAAAATCACAGGCCTTGTCTGAAAGAGCAATACAATACTCTTTCATACTAACAGATTTCCAGCTACCTTTAGCATAGAGAAGTCATTCCCCTGAGCCCTGTGCAGGCACATTGCCCTCCCCTCAGCAGGTAACATTTTTAAACTTATACCTGGGTATTATTAGCATCATTCTTTTTTTTTTTTTTTTCTTGCAAGCTGAAACAGCTTATAAATGAAATAACAAGTGCTACGCAGCCTGGGCTTGGAGCATGTCCTCCTCTAGCATAAAAAGCAATGGAGTTTTAATCCCACCACTCTTCGAGAGGCCTGGAGATCTGCTCCACGTGTCAGGACATGCAGTGATTTGGGTCCTGCTGCTGCAGAGCCCCTCGTATGAGCTGCTGGGGCACCATCACCGACCTCCCCTTCCTGAGCAGCAGCACCTATTCCCCCTGTATTTCCACACTTAACCTTTGTGGGGGTTTTGTTTTTGTCCGTTAATCTGGCTTCCACACCTGCTGTCTCTCAGGAAGGTGTTACTGCTTTTTTGTGTGTTTTTTAATGTGAGGGGAGGAGTGTGGAAAAACGTCTCAAGTCAAAGAGTGGATTAGAAGGTCACTCTCTTTACCAGTTTTATGGTCTGCCTCTGCCCAGCAGAGGGGAGATTTGCAAAAAAAACCTTTGCCATTGTGAATGCATGTACATGTATGTGTGCATTGTGTATATATATTTATATATATTTCATATACACACTTTTTTTGCAGCTCAGTTTTTCAGGATTGGAATTGCTGTAGTACTTTACTTGTGTGTTTCTGTGACAGAACATACTGATGAAAATAGTACTCTGTTGTGAGGAAAGAGTCACCTTTAGAAGGATCCAAGTAAGAGGAATATGACAGAAGAGGTGGACCTACACGGGCAGATTAGAGTCACCTGATTAGAGTCAATTGATTACGTGACTTGATCACCTGATTAGAGTCAATCGGTTAGAGTCAATAGGAAAAGTCACCTGCACTGACTTATCCTATTCTATCCTGCCACTGGGCTCCTGATAATTTAACCTGGGGCTTTCTCTGAGCAGAGTCTGTGAGTTTATTAGATTGTCATTAGGACATGAGCGGCCAAAGAGCTTGCAAATTTACTTTCATTCATGAGCTGAGTTGTGTGCAAACTCAGCCTTTGGAAACGGGAGTCAGTCAGGTTTGGCCCCATAGGTACTGGCTCTTCATAAACCCTCACTGGAGCTCACAGGGGAAGGGTCTGCAGGTCTGGAGGGGCTCGGAAGGAGCATTTTGCAGCCCCATGGGGTGGGCAGCCGTAGCTGCCCCGTGGTGCGAGCGGGGCCAGTATGAAGACAGCACCCAGGAAGGAGGCCAGCCCTGCGCGCCCACCGGCATTCCCGCTTGTGGGAAGCGAGGCCTTGCGCGCTCTGAGAGGAACTGAAAGGCCGCATGAGCAGCTCAGGGTTCACGCTGTTTTTCTTCTTTCTCCTGAAAGCAGTTATTTCATGAGGCGAGCAGTTGCAGTTCTGAAATGAGGAGAGACCTGACATACATTTAACCAAATGGTATCCGGCACCCATACAAGAGAATCAGAAAACACAGATAATATCTCACTTAACAAGCAGTATTTTTCCTGCCTTTTTTTTTTTTTTTTTTTTTTTTTCTCTCTCTCTGTCTCTCAGTTCTAGGGCCTAACAGTTAAGGAAGGCGAAAAAACGGTACAAATGTTTCCACATCTAACATAAAAAGATTCCCCCTAGCACCTCGCAGGCTGCTCTGTGCAGAAGCAGGGAGAAGAGTTTTGCCTTTGCCGTTCGTGCTGGAGCCTGGGAAGGTGCAAAGGAGGGTGTCCTGGGCTGCTTCACACCACGGAGAGCCTGGCTCCCGTCCTGGAGCGACTCCCGGCTCCCTCGCTTCAGCTCTGAGATGCCACTAGTGAAAACAGGACATGAGCTGAGCTGTGACCTCAGGCCAGAAAAGCCCTATATTGTTTTTCTTGCATAACTTCTTTGGTCACACCAGTGTTTCCACTCAGAACAGCCCCCAGGCATTAGATCCACCCATTGCATTTGTTTGCAGATGGAGGGTGATTGAAATTTCTGTAAGAAATCCTGTTCTGTCTTTGTTTTTAACAGTAGTAGTGTTAGCAACACCACTCTGGCCTGAGCTGAAGAGCTCTCAGAACTAAAGAAACTTGGGTAGGAATAAGGATGAATGAAACCTCAGGCACTTGGTTCCCTTCCCTCATTCCTAAACTACATTGCTAGAGCACAGGTGAAGAAACTGAAGTAGGGGGAAGCTGAGAATCTTCCCAGGTACTACCTGGGGATCTGAGACCGTGTTTCAGAGCTTTGGGATGAACTGGGGGAATGCATTTTATAGCCTGCACTTGAGAATACCAACCTATATGGCTCAACCAGGGGCATGCCCTGAATCAGTGGCAGCACCAGAAGCAGGGCTTTGACACCTCCAGAAGTCTTCTGCTTTCCCTCTACCTCTCCTGTGCCTTTTTTTTTCGTATGTCAGACAGTTCTTCATAAAAACAACCCCCACCCCCAAAACCCAGGGGTTATATTGCAACAATTATACTTCACTTATTTTGGAGCAAAAAGGTAAAATGGCAATGCAGTAAATCTGTAGCACTTTGCTTGGTTATGTGACATTTACACAATTTGCCCCAGTGCTTGCCACCAGCTTTCTTTTTCAGCTGTGTTCCTTCAGCCAGTTATTATTCCGGACATGCCTGTTAGAAATTAAATGGGAAACTTTTCCTTCTGTCTTCCCCTTACCATTTCTAAATTCACTGGCTGTTAGTCTGTTAGTGAGATTGCATATCTGTAAGATTAGTGTTCAGTAGGGAGCTTATCGTAGTATAACAATTTAGATGTAGTTAAGGCATGAAATATGAATATCATGCTCTGAATCTAAGACACAGAACTCCACAAATATGTCTATTTTAAATTCACTATTTTTACCCTGTCTTTTTGCATGCAGGGATTTCTCTGTCATGTGCAACATGAAGAAATCAAGTGGTGTGAGATGAGTCATTAAAACGCAGTTTACTAAGTAAAGTTTTCTTAACTGCAGTCTCCTTCAAAGACAGAGATGCAACCAGGTCTCCAGCTCCTGCAGATTTGCCCTACCAAGCCTGTGGAGCTACTATGATTCATGCCATGTGGGCAAATGGCTCCTAATTTAACAAGTTAAAGATCAATATCTGTTGAGTAAACCAAACAATTCACCATAAACCGCCCAAGTACTGACCTACTAAAACGCTTCTGTTCCCAAAGACTGCTTTGAATTATCTTCAAAGCATCCTACTTATCCTGCTTATTGTGGGACGATCAACTATCAGTTAATATAGTTTTGATTTTGTTTTCTATTCGTTATCTCATGCCTCTGATATTATCTGTTTATGTTGGTTTGTAACCGTTAAAGTGCTCTCCTGAATCTAGACTAAGTCAGAGCTGAAGAACCTGCATTTGTGTAACTGGGAGCACAGCTTGAACCTTGCAGCCTGCAGGTGGCTGTTAATTACTATTACTTTCTAACCAATTTTCTAAAGTTACATGTGCTATCAAGAAAGCTGATTCTGATCACACTGCCCCTGCCCATAGATAAAACTTCATACTTTTTTCTTCCCTTTTTTTTTTTCCTTAGAAAAGGCTGAAATAGTTCAAGCAGTCTCTCATCACTCCTGCTTCCTATCCATAAGACAGAGCTCTGCTTGGCAGGCTGGGACTTGCATCAGAAAAGTTGTTGGCAGTTCTTTAAGTTCCTTAAATCCCATAAGGTAGCGAAGAAAACTACAGGAATAACTCTTAAAAAAAAAAAAAAAAGAGAGAGAGAGAGAGAGAGAGAGAGAGAGAGAAGGAGCTGAAGAGTGAATGGCAAGAGCTGTTTTATTGAACTTGCTTCCTGCTTTTATCTCGCCCTGCCGTAAAATTCAGAGTCCTCCTTTTGCCTTTCCGCAGTCCACCTTTACTGTTGCCCTTGCATGCAGTGGCTGGGATTTTGTGGGTTCAGGAATAAGCCATAGATGGTGGAGCTGCGGGACCATATGGATCATGTAGCCCACTCCTCTGCGAACGCAGGGCTCTGCCTTGGGGACCCTGGAGCCCTCCAGCCCACAGTTTGAGATGATTCATCTGCCTGTGCTCCCATCACTCCCTTTTGGAGATTATTCTGCAGTCTGATAGATGCACCATTAAGAAAAGCAGCCAACATTCCCCCAAATTAATTCTTTCAAACCTAGGTTTCTGCACTTGAGCAGGGCAAACAAACTACGTTTTGCCCCACATTTATCCTGTCTTCAAGTATTTGGAGTGTGTTAGGAAGTCCTGTGAGCTGTAGGTCCTTGATTGTCATTAGACACAAAAGGCAGCCCAAGTTTGATGTGTGGATTTTAGTGAAGCTTGATGAAAATTAAAAAAATATACAGTTCTGCTAGAGTCCCAGAATATTTGTGAGTTAGTGCTTATTAGCTAAAGCAAATGTGCACTAAAATAAATGGACTTAATTTCAAGCAGCATTCACAGAAGAAAGAAGGGTTTTTACGACTGTTTTTGTTACATTCCAGCTTCAGTGAATGCAGAAGAGACACCGACCATGCATTATTTTCCTAAATACATTTTTCCCTGTATTCCAGAGAGACTTTCTTTGAAGAAAGACAGTGGATTTTGGTCCTGCATAGACCATGTGTTTAATAGTGTTGTTAACTACCTTTTTTTTTTTTCTTTGCTTTTGAGTTTTATTTAGTTTGTAGTTCTGCTGATACAATTTTTTGAAAATGAGGTTGTGAGTGATGTCTGACTAATGCTGCTTTCTTCACTACTAGGCAAAGAAAGTCCTCCGATTAGCGATGTCCCAGACGATGCAGATGAACCTATGCCAGTACCAGAGGACCTTTCAACTAGTACTGGAGGACAGCAGAACTCTAAGAATGAGAGAATCCTGGGTAAGATGACTCTTCCACACAGATAAGAAATATTAGTACTGTATAATCTTAAACAAAAAGTCCTACACAGCAGGCTGGTATGCAGGCAGGTCCCGTGCCTTTTCATCAGGTTTAGCACAGGATTACTCAAGTGTTGAGCGCTTTTGTGCAACCTTCTCTTTTGAAAAAGCATTTTGAAGGATAGCGAGCCTTTTCATCCCTGAAGAAGTTAGAAAGATCCTACTATTTATCTTATTTCTCAAGCATAACTGATTGTATGAATTTCCCCTCCCTCTCCTCCCTCCCTCTACAGATGGTTTTCATTCTACATAGAAACTGGAATGAAATATTACCTTAACTCAGATTTGAAAAAAAATTGTTAAACTGTTGGGTATTTTTGTTATTATTTTTTGCTATTTATTCAAATGCTTTCTTTGCTGTTTATTCAAATGCTACCTGCTCAGATTTCTCCTCAAATGTCATATTAGAGCATGCATGTTGTTCACATGTTTCAGATACCAATATCTGTTCTTCATTTACTCTCCTTTTAACTGGTTTTCCTGGGTAAGTGTCCACAATTTATCAAGTCTTTTGGCTTAAAATAAAGTATTACTTGGAGAAGATTCTGCAAAACACTATTTCTTTTTCGAAAATGCAAGATCCACACCAAGAACTGGCTAGTCTGATGGCTATTGCATATGTTAGCCCATGCATAACTCACTAAAGAAAAACTAGACAATGTTACTGATGGGCATGATGTTTATTTACTAGCAAAAAAAAAAAAAAAAAAAAGTATGATTCCCAAAATGCTGTGATTAATGCCCTATATGATAAAAATATATTAGGAGAGGAAGGGGGAGTAAGTAGCTTTCTTTAGCTGCAAATTAAAGTATTATTTCTCACTTATAACTATGACTATAACTAATAACGGACAGGAGTGGGAAAAGGAGGTACAAAAGATGAAATAACCAAAACAGGGGAATACAGCAGAGTGGTGACAATGGTAGGAATAGAATATGCTTCCAACTCCTAGTGCTACCTAGAAAGAAATACAGTATCTTATGCACCTCCACTTTATTCACTATTTGATCCCATTGCCAAAGAGAGGAGCGCAAAGTTCAGTTCCTACCTGCATAGTTACATATAAACATTAATGTTCTACAGTGCTTTGTAATAACCTGATCGCTGTTGCACTGCTTTGTTTCTCGACACCAAATTTCTTTCCTTTATTGCTTGTCTACCAGCTCTGTAAAATGTTACCCCTCTTTTCTCCCACAACCACTAAACTCTACAAAATATTCAACTGCTAATTTAGAAAAAAACTGTCACATTCAAAACCAAATAAAGACACAGTATTTTACACTGAATTTATTTTACTTCACAAATACCATGCAGAAGAAGCCATGATGAGATTTATGTTTGCTGATGATGTAATGATTCTCCCAATAGTTTAATTGTATATTAATATAAATAAGTATTAAAGGGTATGGTAATAAGTGATGGCCAAAAAATAGTATCCTGGCATTCTAAATACAGTAAGTTCCATCAGTCCTTAGTAGTTTTGCTTCGTGCACTCAGCAATAAAACAGATTTTCCTTATTCTAACATCAACATCTTTTTTACAGCCATTTTCTCTAGTCTTAGCTTTTTGGTTTAGGAGGGACATGCTGTTGCAGTGAGCCATTTACCACAGCCAGCAGAAACAAAGACAATCCACTTATTATATTCCACTTCATGAATGCTCTTAACTGTAGGCATCAACTCCAACACTTGCCTTCTTTTTATTTTAGCAGTAAGGTTGCCTGCACTTTCACCTTTTCTAATGCTCCTTTCTCTAAGAAATTCTCCTATTTTTTTTTCAAATTGAAATATATATAGAGAGAGATTTAAATACCTGAACACACAGAGGAAACATCAGAAGGGGTACAATTGCACTGCACATTCAGCAGTGCTAACAAGGATCATTATGAAATAGAGGTTTGCCAGTCAGGGATTAACCAGTGCAGTAACAGGATATTGAAGAGTGTTGGGCCTGTATTACCCGTAGACACATTATCTTAGTGGCTGTACACGAGCAGTGTTGATGAGCTTTGTGTTCTGCTCAGTGCTCTCATCTCTTAAGCTTGTTCAAAGATCTTTTTCTCATCTCTCTCGATCATGGAAATCAGGTAGAAAAGAACCATCTTAAAAGGTCATTTGAAGAGTGATAACAAACCATTGCAAAGACCAACTGACTATATATACCTTGAGCAGGAAGATAACACATGGCCTATGGTAACTGACAGGCGATGCACATGAGCAGATAACCAGGCAACGATTTTTCTCTATATGACTTTCCTAATGTCCCATCTGTTTCCTTCATGCAAAGGGGTTCCCCTGTGTACTTTGCTGTATTTCGGCATAGGATTTGTGCTACATCCTTCTTGATCTCTAGCATCCTGGAAGATGTCCTCACTCCACACATCAAGGCATGGTGGTTTGTTGCAGCTGTATATTGAAGAGAACCACCAGGCTCTGGAGTATTTATGTATTTATTTATTTTTACATGTAGGGTTTTGGACGTAACAACAGTGGAAATTGCAATTTTGTTAAATGGAAGAGAGTAAGTATTTACCTTATCTTGGTAAAATTAGATGAAAAAAGTGTTGTTGGTTTTAATTGGCCTGTAAGATAGAAATGTTCAAATGACTGTTTGCTGACTCACATTTATCGCAACACTTCATGAAAGCTTTAACTTTAGCGTCAAAAGGTTAATTATCTTTTTTTTTATGAACTTAGCATTTTAAAGGTCAAAAGAAAATAAATTTTTACCAAAAAGAAAAAGAAAAAAAAAAGAAAAAAAAAAGAAAGAAAGAAAAGATAGGGTGTAGCTCCTCCTTGTGTTTTCAGAAATCTCCTTTCTTGCTTCTTCCAGTCCTAGACTGATAATTAAGCTTGGTGCTCTGAACCTGATAGGAAGAACCATTTGAAACATCTTTCTCTTCTTGCAGACTGAAGATGCAGTGAACTACATAAATTACACTACAAAATTAATCTGCCCAGATTTTCACTGAATGCCTTCATTCTCTGAGTGGCCACTTAAAATGACTATACAGGGTACAAATTTGAAAGGGAGGTGATCTGAGGTTCAGGAGAAGTGTCTTTCCAGTTGTCTCTCCAGGCAGGGGCACCTAACACAGGAGATGCTTCTGACCAAAGCAGAAATGATAGACAGGTAGGAAAAGGCATCTGTGGGAGTACAGCCATCCACAGCAGCCCAGCAAAGCAAAACCATATTAACAGATGTATTTTGGTCATTTCTGCCTCCCTTTCCTTCCTCAATGAGCCTGCCATCCTTTTAATGTTGCAACTCCCAGAATGGCATTATGTGATAAGCAGCTTCCCTTTGAAGGCTCTGTTTCTGCTGCTTGTCCTCTAGGTCTTCCTCCTCACTCCTTCTCTTCTTCTCTACCCTCAGATTTCCTTCTTAGACTTAGATAAGACACCTTTATATTGGCTTTTCTTTCTCTTTTTTCTTTTTTTTTTTTATCTGTTCACCCACCTGCTCCATGTTGCAAGATCTCTTTTTTTTTTCTTTTCTGAAAAACACTGGGAAGGATTTCAGACAAGGGAAAGTCTGGATTTTTGCAAGTCTTTAAGTCACTAGAGACTCTTATCATCCATATGGGTCTATGAAACTCCTCAGTGTCTTTTAATATCCTCATCTAAGTTATTTAGAAATATGCATCCCACTCAAATCCCGTTCCTTTAAGAATTAGTGATCTGTAATCACCTTTAAAGAAGCAGTCCTATTTCATATGCTTAATATATAACATAGATATCTGTTTTAAAACATCTTCTGCTGATTCTCACTGCCTCCATCGACGTTTCAGGTTAAGTGTTGTATGTATCTTATGAGGCTGATAAGTACTGAACATGCTGCACGTGGTGGACTCTTGTGGTTTAGCTTCTGCCCTAGGACTATATCCTAATTAAAGCCATGTGTGCAAAGCTGATGGTTCAGCTAGAACCTGCTTCATGCAGGAAAAGCCTTATGTTGTAGTGGTAGCATTTACCTGAGATTTTAAATAAAGACTGCATTGTTTTATCCATACCTGCTGTATCTGTACCATACTGTAACTGGCCATTGACAGATAGAAAAGAAATGAAGGCCAGCTCAGTGCTGGTGGCCTCAGAAAGGGGCTGCGAGGCCGGGGCTTCCTCTGTACTGACCTCTGCCTGATAAGGACAACCCTGTAGTCTTCCAACATGTAGGACATGGATTTCTCATTGAATAAAACCATCACCACCCTAGTCACTGATTCCAGTGTGGACCTGAAGTCTGTAATGTGCAAATATTCTTCCTGAGAGAGGAGGAGATGGGGAGGGTTTACTTCACCAACCGGATTGAAACTGTTGTATAACTGGCTGAAGGTGCCAAAGTCACAAGCCTCGGTGGTCCTGGAGGTCACAGGAGAGAGCAGATTTATTATGAAGTTAGAGGCTATTTGTTTAAAATACAGAATATTAGAGTTGTTTGATGCTTCCCTTCTGCAGTGGCCAGTGCCAGGAGGGCTGATGTCTCCCCCATGATACGGCGTGTGGCAGCAGCCCCGGTGGCGGCAGAGCTTCGAGGCCTGGCGTCCACGGGAAGCCCACGTGGGGCCTTGGGAAGCCCATGTTGCCCTCACGTCCCGGGGTTTTCTCCAGCGGCCGTGGTGGCTCAGAGGTGCCACCTTGCACCAGCTGCTTGCTGGGGCAGGCAGGTGTGCCCGTTCTCAGCTGCTTCGACGCTTTGTTCCCTTACAAGGAGTCCAGGCGTTTGGCAGCCAGGACGGGAGCATGGCTGAGCGGCCGCGGGCCCGGCCACGAGCGCTCCTCACTACCTCAGTGGACTGCGAGTCGCAGGGAGCGGGGCGGAGGCAGCGCAGGCGAGGAGGGGCTGTGGGGCGGCGGAGGGCACCAGGGAGAAGGCCCAAGGGGAAGTGCTCCACCCCAGCTTGCACAACCCATCTTGTCCCAGAGACAGGTTGAGCCCCACC